TTATTCTTCATCCTCTTGCTCTTGGTGTTTGTGATCCATTAGAGGAGTGACATTTGTGACTCTAAGCTTTCTAAAGTCATTACAAGGAGGATTTGAGATTGTTATTGCTACATAACAATCAAGGTAATATCTTAAACCCATTATTATGTTAATATTGATTATCATATGCTAGATTTAGGGTTTAAAGTCTTGGATGAATAGCATGTACAATAGAGAAACCTAGATCCAAGCATTAGGGTTTGCATGAGCACATAGGATGTTCTTATGGCTAAAAGCCATCATTAAAGACATTCTTGGAATAAAAGTCCGTTTTCCAATATTACTTTCAGTTAAGATAACTACCTCGATAACACATTTTCCCAAAGATATAACCTGTAGTCTAGTCCCATTACATAAGCCATTTTTCTGATCAATGTTTCTCAATAACATAACTGGAACACCGATTTTTAAAATGAGCTTATGGTTTGGCAGACCTGAGACTTTGAGACCATTTAAAACATCAGGCGAGTATAAATTTGTATCAAACTTATCATGAAGAAACTCGGATTGGCATAGGCTATCTGAACTTAAGTATTCAGTTGGTTCTCCTAGAAACAATGACAACAAACGATCGTTTATTTCTTGGACAACTTCATTCTTGGGAGCAATTATTGCTTTTTCTTGAAAATAATCAGGAATGTTGAAGTTTTCCAGTATAGAAGGATATACAAAACTAATTAATGAACCTATAGGATCATGTGGATTAGTAATGAGAATATCTTCTGGAATATCAACAATTGCTTCACCGTCATTCGAACCACCAAGATTACCTTCTCCTATGTCTAAAAGCCATGTTGCAAAATCCCTTATTTGTTTAATAGAAGATGGATCGCTTCCAACTGTTAACCTCATGTTTTTGGTTAATTTATGAACTTGGCATTGTTGCCATAAATAAGAAGAACTTAAAGAAGCATTAACAATGTTTTGTCTACTGCCACCTGGAACAACAGGTAGAATTTGTCTGAAATCACCTCCAAAGACAATCACTTTCCCTCCAAATGGAATATTTGAATTCGTAGGATTGACACACTTTAATATATCCTTAAGAGTTCGATCTAAAGCTTTGAATGCATGTTTGTGAACCATGGGTGCTTCATCCCAAATGATCAATGAGGTTTTTCTTACTAAACTGGAAAGATCAGTCTTTGGATTTATTCTACAAAAAGAATCCTCGGTAAGATTTATGGGAATTATAAACCGAGAGTGTGTTGTCTTGCCTCCAGTCAATAATAATGAAGCTATCCCACTAAAACAATCTCACCTTGACCTCTAATTGCTATAGAAATTGATTTTCAATGAAATGTCTTACCAGTTCAACCATAACCAGAAACAAAGAATACACCTCCCCTATTATGTTTAACTGCATCCATGATATCAAGAAAAATGTCTCGTTCCTTGTTTGTTAATGCAACAAACAACCGATCAAACTCGTTCTTTAAATTTGGTATGTCATAATCTAGCTCCTCAGTAATAAGATGATTGTTTGAAGATGAAACAAAATCAGCATCTAGGTAAGGCATCTTTCCATAGTGTTAAGGATTGGAATCGTTACTGAGTAAAATTTGTTCTATCTCAAACAAAGTCAAGTTTTTAAGTTGATCTTCGTTTAGTGATAAACCTATACGAAAAATAATTTATTAATTAGAAGGTATAAAAAAAATAAGTTATTATGATGTAAAATATAACTGGATTTATACTAAAATTGTATATGATAATCTTTTAACAATAATAAGATAAAGTTATATTACCTGGAGACTTTAATCTCTGTTGTTGATTGTAAAGAATTCCATCTGATAGGTTTTCCCAAGTTTTTTGCCAAACTATCTCTGGTTTACACAAAGTATTGGACAATAGCATCGTAGCAAATAAGAACCGTAGATAAAAACCAGATCCAGAAAGACTTGCTTCCTTTATTGCATCGATGAATTCTTTGTCACCATCTAAAAGGCCAAGAGTATAACATAAATCTTTAAAAGAAGAACATAGTTCACCATTGACTGTGCGAAATGATTTAGGACCTTTCACTTTATTTAAAAGAATTCTTAGGAAATATGCTTCTCCGAGTTTAGGTGAAACATAGTGAATTCTACCAACTGCATATCCAACTTTCCTTGGCTTCCAAATAAGATCTTTACGATGCCAAACAAACTTTGTAGGAAATTCAACATATGTCTGTTTTTGTGCTTCTTTATTGATTTCATTACAGTTCATTCAAGATGTGAACATTGAAGAAGCAACAGAAGTTCGGTCAAGAACATCTTCAATGTCATCGTCTGCCTCATATACAACTTGTTGCTGATTGAGAAGATGAAAAGGTAGTCTAATCATAGCAGGATATCTATAATGAACATCGTATTTAAAAATCCGCCATGATGCTTCACATGCAGAAATATAGCTACAATCATAGTATTCTTTAATTTCATCCACTGAATTATTGTTATCAGAATCATTATTGCTTGGCACCATAGATATAGTAGCTCTATCAGGACCCTTGTTTATATATTTAAACAAATACTTTATGGAAGATCCCCGATTGCACCATTCAACATGATTGTGTGCCTAATATCTTTTCAACAGATATTTGTTGTATGGAACAACATTTCTGTTATCTAACTAAACAGCAGATTTTTGTACAAAATGTCCATCATTTCTTCTCCGATATAAGGGAAAACCATTTGAATCAACTGTAGTATGATCACAAAATTGCTTTGGAAAGTTTTTAGAACACTTTCTGTCGACCATGCATGGGCAATTCTGGATCATCATCGATATTTGGAATCTCAGCAGAAATAATGGGATCGATATCTTCAACTGTTGGAAGCTTGCATTTAACATGCATAAACAGACATACATGACTATGAGGTAAACCTCTTTTTTTGAAATTCAATTGTATAAACCACTACATGCAAAATATACAAATAAGATATAAGTTAGCAACTAAAATTTGTGTGTGTGTGTGTGTGTGTGTGTGTATATATATATACACGTTAAAATATAAATTGTAATACCTACTTGAACCTTGCCGAAAATTTCATTTTCCCTTAAATCTTTAATAAATGCATCCAACTTGATCTTAAATAGCCCACATAATATATATGGTCTATCTTTTGGATGAAGTGGAGTGTCATTAAGGAACCTTTGAAGTTCCGGCCATTTTGGATTACAAGTAAATTTTATCAAAAAAGCAGGATATCCAAACTGTTTACAGAGCGACATGGCATCCAAATAGTTTTGCATCATATAGCGTGCACCACCGGTAAATGAAGAAGGTAAGATTACACGTTGCCCGACGTTGTAAATATCTATACTCCCAACTTGTTATGATTTAATTTGTATTTTTTCAGCATCTGTAGATTGAAATTCTATGTATTTCAACAATCTACTTTGAAAAAAAAATCTCATTTTAGCATTATACTTCCAAATCTTTTTTTAAAGTGTTTAATATTATACTTCCAATTAATTTTTATTTTTATTAAGTTGCAATTCATATTTTCTTTTTCCAATCGTGGTTGCCATGAGTTTAAATCTAGATAAAATATGATTTCTTTTGTTTTGTATTTGATCAATACAAATTATTAATCAATTGTACAAGTAAATAGTCTCACAGATCATGTGCTCCTTTGATTTATATGTTACTTTTTTCTTGATTGTTCTGATGAGCATTTCTTTAAATTTGTTTGTAATTAGAATTCATACTTGATTTTTTACATATTAATTTTAAGTTTTGACATCTGGTTAAGTATTTTGTTGATATTAGTTGTGGTAATAGTTGATTGTTAGTTATACTAACTGCCTAAAATACTATATATAAAGGTTTAGCAGTTAATTATTATTAAACAATTGATTATCTAAAAAATATTTATTATTTTTATATTCATCTGTAAACAAGAAAAGAAAAAGAGAAAGATGAAAAAGAAATTGAATAATTACTTTATTGTTACTTGTATAATTGCCAAAAACTAATTAGTTTACCAAACTTATTTATTGTATTAAACAATTAGTTATATGAAGTATGTTTGATTTTTGTATATGAAGTATGTTTCATTTTTGTATATTCATAGAAGGACAATAGTTTGATTTATTTGATGTAAACATTTCAATAAGAAAGAAACTACTCTCATGCTATGTTAGTTAAAATATTTTCAATCACCAAAAATAAGTTAAAAATATTTTCATTATGCTAAAAAAAATATTTTAATTACCCACTTTATTAAAAATATAGTTAAAAAATATTTTTTTCTTCAACTTGACAAAAGAAGAATAAGTTCTTTAGGTTTCTAATATTTTAATATATTGGACAAAACATAGTATTAATGAGAAATATTCAAAAGGGTAAAAAAAATATTTGTCAAACATAATGAATGTTTTAAAGTTGTTTTACCTTAATAACATATAGTACACAAGTTATGCATATTGTTTTTCCTTTTCAACCATGCTTTTCACGGGTTTAAATTTATTAATTATAAGTTGTTTCACGTAAATAATATGTTGCATTATACAACCTCATGATTTTTATAAAATAAGTGGATTTGCATATGTAATTAAATACTTACAAATTACAAAGTTATTAAAAAAAAACATACAATATTACAATTCATAAGTTTTTCTAAATTTGTGATATATTATTTTATTATATAATCAATTTTTTATTTCTATTTAAATTTATCACCCTTGGGTTCCATTAGTTTTAACCTAGAATATATATATATAGAAATATCTGACTGAGGTTTAATCTCAAAATCTCTACTTTTATTTTTAATCTCAAGTGAATCTCAAGTGATATATATATATATATATATATATATATATATATATATATATATATATATATATATATATATTGATTTTTTTTAAATAATGTGTTCGTTGTTTAATTAATCAAAAAAACTAAAAAAAAAATATCATTTTTTAAATATATATAACATATTCTAATAGAATATTACACTATAAATATATATAACATGTAGTAAGCTGAAAAGCCCTACTCCACGCAATAGGCGCCTCAGCCCGGCCCTGCCGACCATCTGTAATCATTAATATGGTAGGAGAAGGTGCTGCCACCTTCGCTAGTGCTGCTAGACTCGAGCACTAGGATCGCTTGTGTCCCCTCTGATTGTACTGAAAGCAAATCAGATCTGATTTTTTCGTGGTGGTAGTAGTGGCTATGCAATCTTGGCTCATATGACCAATTCGACAATTCTTGTAGCAGCCCGAACTCCCCGCCTTGAATGTTCCTTCGTGCATCTTGCCGCATTTACCACAACGACCGTGGTTGTACTAGCTCTGGGATGTCTAATCTGATACCTTGGGCTTCTTGCCCGAACCCCCTGACTGACCCCCCTCAGGTTTCCTCTTTCTTCCATATCTAAATCCAACTCTCTC